CTCCTCTCCTGCCCCTCTCCCCTCCCCCCCCCCTCCTCCTCCCCTCCTTCTCCTCCTCTTCCTTCTCCTCCTCCTCCTCCTCTTCCTCCTCCTCCTCCTCCTCCTCCTCCTCCTCCTCCTCCCCCTCCCTCCTCCGTCCTCCTCCTGCTACTTCTCTTTTTCCGTCGGTAGGTGTGCCCGCGCCATATCTGACATCCTACGCCTCCCACCCATCCCTTACCGTTGCGCTGATTTGTTCTCAGCCCGTCGACACGTGTCATAGTGGACCTGGATATCCACGAAGTATCCCATCGTGTTGTCCAGAATCGGAAAAGGGGAGCTTCAGACAACGGAGGATGAGTTGGCGGACGAGCAGGATGATGAGCAGGAGGAAGAAGATATTGATGAAGGAGGATGACGAGGACGAACAGCAGCAGCAGGAGCTGGAGTGGAAAGAGCGGGAGGAGCAGGACCACGGGACGACGGAGAAGGAGAAAGGCGAGGGGCGATATCGATGAGCGAGGACTCGGACCCAGAGAAGTGGCCCGCGCTTGGGCGAGATCGCGATGCTGAACAACGGGAGCAACACGCCGATCCTAACGTGAGGCCCACACTGCAGCGCGAACATCATTTTGAAACGCCGAGAACGTTCCGATTGCGAAACAGCCATAGGACATAGCAAATAATGACATCCGGTATGTGAAACAGCAATGTGCGGAGAGGGCGGGCCATCTTCCAGCCAGGGTCAGGGAGAGAGGAGATTAGCAAACCGGTTTCGGAATGCTTGCACTTAGGGTTTCTGTCTTGTGTTCTAGGGAGCTGGGCCTGGGTGCTGGTCTGGCAGCCATGTTGCTGCCGTCGCCGCCCCTTCGCCGCCTCGTCGCCGCCCGTTGTCCGGGCCTGGATGGCGCTCTGGCGGCTATGTTGTCGCCGTCGCCGCCGCGTCGCCGCCTCGTTGCGGCCAGTCGTCTGGGTCTGGGTGGCGGTCTGGCGGCTATGTTGTCGCCGTCGCCGCCGCGTCGCCGCCTCGTTGCGGCCAGTCGTCTGGGTCTGGGTGGCGGTCTGGCGGCTATGTTGTCGCCGTCGCCGCCTTTTCGCCTCCGGCTGTCTGGGGCTAGGTGGCGGTCTGACGGCTACGTTGTCGCCGTCGCCGCCTCGTCGCCGCCCCATCGCCGCCCCGTCGCCTTTCACCACGTAGAGTGCCCCACATAGATTTCACAACATATGTTGCACCACATGGGCTGCACGATACACACATATACATAGTCCTCCCCATATAATATTGCACAACATCGATTGCGCCACATGTAATTGCGCCATATATATATTGTACCGCGTATATTGCACAACACAGATTGCATATCATATACGGCACTAGATACATTGCTCCCCATATATTGATTCACATGTGTTGCAAAACATAGTGTGGACCACATCTGGGAACTTCCTGTTTGTTTCCGTTCAGAGGGTCCCGCGCGTCGAGACATGGCAACATGCTGAGGTGGCTCGGCCCGTTTCGCATGAGACATCGTCGCAAGTCTTCGTTTCGCTTGAGACATTTTCGTAATTTTGGGCTCCCAGACGCTACGCGAGAGGTGGTCCGGCCCATACCGCTTGAAACATCCTCATGGTTTTTGGGTTCGGGGATGCCATGACCTGAGGTTCGCTTGGTGATGCCGCCCGAGAGGTGATCCGGTCAGTTTTGCCCGAGACCTCCCCGCAATTCTTGGCAAACAGATGCCGCGTGCGAGTGGGTCCAGCCAGTTTCGCATACGTCCCCGCAATTCCGAGCAACCGTGGAGGAGTGCGAGGCGAAGAAGGAGTGGGAGGAGGAGGAGTAGCAGGATGACTGAGGACGAGGGGGATGAAGGATCATGCTCGTATGGCTGTCAGACAAGTGCTCTTGTTTTCAATATTCTCGGGGTCCTCGTCGCCAGGGCTGGACGCGGCTCGATCATGTCTGGTGACGCGGGCTGGTGCTCTGCCGACGAAGCGCGTGTCACGGGCCAGTTCGCGCCGAGATTGTGGTGATATCTCGAAGGACCCGTTTGTTTGACGGAGTGGTGGAGTGTTTCGGAGCCGTACGGTCCTCAGCTGGCAACTTTGCTTGGCTTTTGGGGTTGCTTTGGGCCCCATCCAGGGCTTGCCTTGGCTGGCGGGGTGGGCAGTGCACCGGAGCCCGGGCGCCTGGGACAGCTCTGGGCGACGTCGGCAGCCCCACCGGCGGTGCCGGGGAGGTGCCGGGGAGGGGTTGCCCTCAGAAGGGCGTGGTGCGCCCCACGGCCTGCAGAGAGCCATCCTCGGAGCCTCGGGCTCCGAGATGCCCTGCCTTGGTGTGCTCTGGCTCGTTTCAGCTGTGGATCCCAAGATTTGGTTCGCGAGGTACTCAGGCCCGTTTTGCCCGAGGAATACTGCGAGCCTCGGGCTGTTGCGAGATGCCCTGAATTGAGGTGCTCTGTCCCGCTTCAGACGTTCTCACAACTCTGTGTTCCAAGATGTGGTTCGCGAGGTACTTTGGCACGTTTCGCCTGAGACATCCTTGGAATCCCTGGCTCTGACAGTAGCGAATGGCGGCTCCCCTTCCCGTCGTCCTGTCCATCGCCATTGTCTTGTCGCCTGACGTGCTATCACACATAATCAGCGTGCTAAGCCTTGTCTTCATTCTTCAGCCCCCGCCCTCAAAGGATCCTCCCTCGAGAGCTTCAAGCTAACGTTTATTCCGATCATCTCGCTGCCCTGTTTCAGACACGTTCTCTCCTATGGCTTTTCTGGTCATGCTGTTGTTATCCTTGAGGTTGACTGGCCAGCCGTGGAAACACTTCTCCCCTGCATTCCCCCAGCCTTTAGTTTCTTCCTCTCAACACCTTCAGCGGTGGGTGGGCCTCGTCAGCGCGGTTTCAATACTATTAGCAAGGCGTTTTAGGGTGCGAGCTGCTACATCGGTTCTCCCACGTTTTGTGCTGCCTACATGTTTCAGCGATATTTTCGCATGTGGTTATGTATGTCCGAGAGTCTCTGCCTGTCTATCCTATTACCTGGCCTGGCATTGTCAGTACACCCTGTGCTTCTACCCTTCTCTGTGTTCATGTGTGTTAATTGAACAACCCTCTTCGCGTCTTTGCTGATTATCTCCTCAACGACCAGGCCTGCCGTTGTGTCATTCCTGTAGCCCGACATCATGTGGCAAGGCCCGCCGTTGTCCTGCGTAGGTATCGTGGCACGAGATCCGCCACAGGTGCCTTCGAGGAGCGGGCGGGGGGGTATGGTGGGGTGGGGAGGAGGCCCGTGTGGTGCGGATGAGGCAGAGCAGGCCGAGGAGGAGGAGGAGGACGAGGACGAGGAGGATGATAATGAGAAGGGGAGGAGAGAGGAATGACATATCTCTGCTGAGGTTCTTCTCCTGCGTCCCTCTCTCTTTTCGGGGAAGCCAGGCGGCAGCCCTCGATTTTTGATCGACAATCCTCGATCCCCCTCGGTTTTTCATACCCCCCGCTCCCCCATCCTCCTTGATTTTTGATCTTCGATCCTTGGTCCTCGTTCCTCGATCTTCATCGGTTCTCCATCTCCCATCCTCGATACCCGATCCCAGATCCCGCCAGGTCCTCGACTTTCGATCCTCTGTGATCCTCGATCCTTCTCTATCCTCCTGGATCCCCGATCCTCCTCGATCCCCGATCCTCCTCGAGCCCTGACCTCCCAGACCTGCGACGTCCTGATTTTGTCAGTGCGCGGTCCCCGGAGGTCCCGATCCCTGCCCCCAGGGCCGGTTCTGCGCCCCGAGCCGTCCCTTGCCGGTGCTGGGGCCCGGCGGGGACCCCCAGAGACCGAGCACTGCAAACGGTCTCCCGTCTGGGCAAGTCCGAGCTGGTGGGCTTGTTTTCCACCACCACCACCATAGATAAGTTGGAGGGGGGGGGGTCCTCCTCCTCCTCATCCTCCTCCTCGTCCTCCTCCTCGTCCTCGTCCTCCTCCTCCATCTCCTACTCCTCTTCGTCCTCCTCCTCCTCCTCCTCCTCCTCCTCCTCCTCGCTCTCCTCCTCCTCCTCCTCCTCCTTCCCTCCTCCAACTTTTGGTGGTGGTGGTGGAGAACAGGCTCATCACGAGCGCTCCCCCTCTTTGGCCAGGCCCGCGGGCGGGCGGGGCGCGGCCTTCGCCGGGCAGCCCCTCTCTGGGGGGCCTCCGCGGCCGCCGCGGGGGAGCAGGCCCCGTTGTTTGTTTGTTTGTCTGTTGAGCTTTGATCTCCACAGCAGAGTTCTCCCGTGATCCCTCCTTCTCCCTGCTTCCTCTGTTTTAGCGGCTCCATCCCTCTGTCTCCTCCTCTGTCGTGCTCCATCCTTCTCCTTTGCTCTTGTCTCTTCCCTCCTCCCTTCCTTCCCATGTTTTAGTGGCTGCGCCAAGTACACGCGGCCAGTAGGGAAGATATAGCCCCAAGGGAAGAACGATCGAAGACGAAGAGGGCGGGTACCAAGGGCTTGGGATGCACGTGTTGATTGGCACGCCAGCAGATAAGAGCGAGCTGTCTCAAAGTGATTGTTGCTGTTGTTGATGCTGTTGTCGATTTCTCATGTCTAAAGCGTAAGTGTTGTTGACGCCCCCCTCTGGTGCTCCTTGTTCTTTCGATTGGGAGCCTTCTCAGGGTAAAGTCTTGAGCCTGAGAATGCGCCCATGGCTCCCGAGTAACAACGGCAACAACACCAACAACAACAGCAACAGCAACAGCAACAGCAACAGCAACATCAACAGGAACAGCAACAGCAACAGTAAAAACAACAGCAACAGCAACAACAACACAACACTGGCTCCTGCCTGATACTACCTCGCAAGTTAATTCAACATCGCGCGCTCCCGCCTGGGACTTCCTCAGAAATGATGCAGGAATTGCACTCTCACGTGGTGCTTCCTTAAAAGTATTGCGGCGCCGTACCCCCAACACTCAGGAATCGCGCTCGCGCTCGGGATTTCCTCACGATTTGCTTGAGAATCGCGCTGTCCGTCGAGACTTTCTTGCGATTCATGTTGCATTGACGCTTCAGCGACCCGCCCGCTCGACCCTGCCGTCTGGGCCCGCCCGCCCGACCTGCCCAATAGGGTCCGCCCACCCGACCCGCCCGTTTGGTTCTGATTCTGCAATTTGTACTTTGGCTCCTAACCCCCCTCCTGCAAATGTCTGTCGTGCTCCATCCTTCTCTTCTCCTCTTGTCTCTTCCATCCTCCAGTCCTTCCCCTGTTTTAGCGGTTGTGCCAAGTACACGCGGCAGGTAGGGCAGATTTTTTCCGAAGGGGTCATATCGATGGAGGGCTGGTATCGAGGGCTTGGGAGACACGTGATGAATGGCACGCGAACAGAGAAGAGCGAACAGTCTTTCAATGCTTTATGTTGCTACATTCTCTTCTTTTGAAGAGTAATTCTTGTTGATCCCCTTTACTGGTGCACATTGCGTCTTTCAATTGAAGTGCCCCCCTTCGGGGCTCGCACCTTTTTTTATCACGGGACATCTTCCTGCTCAAACTGCGCTGTTGGGCCGCGAACTACAACAACGGCTCCCGCTTGATATTTCCTCATGTTTTTTTGAGACATCGCGTTCTCGCGCGGGATTTCTTCACATTTTGCACAGGCATCGCGCTCTCGTGTGGGTTTTTTTCCTAATTTAATCAGACGCGGCGCCCTCGACACTCAGGAATCGCGCTCTCGCTCTGTCCTTACTTACGATTTAATTGGGAATCGCGCTATCGCCCGAGATTTTTTCACGTTTCTTGCAGGACCCACGCTTCAGCAACCCGCCTGCTCGACCTGGCCGCCTGGGCCCGCCTTCCCGACCCGCCCATTAGGGTCGACCCGCCCGATCTGCCCGTCTGGTTTTGCCACGTGTTTTCTGCTCCTAGCCTTCCTCCTAGTTTCTCTCGTGCTCCATCCTTCTCCCTCCCCCTTCTCTTCTCTTGTTTGAAGGCCTGATCAAATTGTCTTTCAATTGAAACGCACCCCTCAGGGGCTCGCACCCGGCTTCTTATAAGGAATAGGTTTGTGCTCAAACTGTGCTGTTGGGCCCCGAACTACTACAACGGCTCCCGCCTGATATCTCCTCACATCTTATTCCAGCATCGAATTCGCGTGTTGGTCTTCCTTCTATCCGTCCTCTCTTCCCCTGTTTTAGGGGCTGCGCTACATGCGCGTGTCAGGGAAGAAAGGTATATTCCTGGGGGGGTACGATCGAAGACGAAGAGGGCGGTTACCGAGGTTTTTTACGATATACGTATGGACTGGCACGCGAGCAGAGGGGAGCGAGCAGTCTTACACTTATTGTTGTAGAGTTTTTAATTTCAACAGAACAATTATTGTTGACCCCCTCGGGTGACCATTATATTCTTTAAGTTGAAGTGCTCCTCCAGGGTATTTACAAGAGCAAGCGAGATGTCACCAAACTGCGCCCCTGGCCCCCTGTTTACAATAACGCCTGTTCCCACCTAGCACTTCCTCACAATTTATTCCAGAATCGGGCGGGTCTTCCTGACAATTTATGCAGACATCGCGCTCTCGCGTGGGACGTCCTCGCAATTTATTGAAACGCTGCGCCCTCGAGATTCAGGAATCACGCTCTCGTTTTGGCCTATCTCATGATTTCCTGGGGAATCGCGCTGTCGCTCGAGACATCTTCGCGATTCATGCAGGACTCACGCTTCAGCAACCCACCTGCTCGACCTGGCCGCCTGGGCCCGCCTTCCCGACCCGCCCGTTAGGGTCCACCCGCCCGATCTGCCCGTCTGGTTCCGCCATGTGTTATCTGCTCCTGGCACCCCTCCTGCTAATTTCTTTCGTGCTCCATCCTTGTCTCTCGCCCTTCCATCCGTCCTCTCCTCCCCTGTTTTAGGGGCTGCCTTAAGTACAAGTGGCAGGTAAGGAAGATACACTCCCAATGGATGTGGCAGGTAAGGAGTATTTGTCCCGAAGGGGGTACGGTCGAAGTCGAAGAGGACGAGTACCGAGGGTTTGGGGTATACGTGTTGAATGGCACGCATGCAGTAGAAGCGAACAGCCTCAAACTGCGCTCCTGGCCTCCGAGTTACAACAACAACGGCTACCGCCTGATACGTCCTCATAATCAATTGAATCATCGCGCTCTCGCGCGGGACGCCCTCACAATTTATGTAGGAATGTCGCTCTTTAGCGTGGGGCTCCCTCGCAGTTTTTTCAGACGATGCGCCCTCCGCGCTCAGGAATCACGCTCTCGCTTTGGCCTGTCTCGCGATTGACTTGAGAATCGCGCTATCGCTCGAGACTTCCTCTCGATTCGTGCAGGACCCACGCTTCAGCAACCCGCCTGCTCGACCTGGTCGCCTGGGCTTGCCTTCCCGATTCGCCCGCCATGGGTCTGCCCACACGATCTGCCCGTCTGGTTCTACCTTTTGTTTTCTGCTCCTAGCCCCCATCCTGCTAGTTTCTCTCGTGCTCCATCTTCCTCCCTCCCCCTTCCACCCGTCCTCTCTTCCCTTGTTCTAGGGGCTGCACTAACTGCACGCGGCAGGTAAGGAAGATATGCCCCAAAGGGGTTCGATCGAAGACGAAGAGGGCGTGTACTGAGGGTTTGGGATATACGTTTTGGATGGCATATGAGCAGATCGGAGCGAGCAGTCCTAACATGAATGCTGCTGTGTTGTTGTTGTTGTTGTTGTTGTTGTTGTTGTTGTTGTTGTTGTTGTTGAACTCTCATTCTTGAAGAATAATTATTGTTGATCCCCCCCCACCGGTGCACATTGTTTTTTTCGATTGAAGTGCCACCCCCGGGGCTCGCACCTGGTTTTTTCTCAAGGAAAGTCTTCCTGCTCAAACTGTGCCCCTGCCCCCCGGGCTACAACAACAACGGCTCCCGCCTGAGACTTCCTCGATTTTTTCTCAGGACCCCCGTTCCCGCCTGAGACTTCCGCGCAATTTACTCAGGAAAGGCGCTCCCGTCTGAGACTTCCTCGCAATGTAATCAAGACCCCCGCTCCCGCCTGAGACTTCCGTGCGATTTACGTGGGAACGGCGCTCCCGCCTGAGACTTCTTCGAATTTTACTCAGGACCCCCGCTCCTGCCTGACATTTCCGCGCAATTGACTCAGGAACGGCGCTCCCGCCTGAGACTTCCTCGCAATTTAGTGAGGACCCCCGCTCCCGCCTGAGACTTCCGTGCAATTTGCTCAGGAACGGCGCTCCCGCTTGAGACTTCCTCGCAACTTAGTCAGGGCCCCCGCTTCCGCCTGAGATTTCCTCACAATGTACTCAGGACTGCGCTCTCGCGTGCGACGTCCTCACAAATTATTCTGGAATTGCGTTTCGGCGCTCAGGAACCACGCACGCGCCAAGGACGCCTTCACAACGTGATATCTTCCCTCTTCCTTCGTCCTTCCCCCTCCCCTTCCTCCCACTCTCCCTCGTTCTTCCCCTCCTCCTCTTGCAGGGCCCGCGCCAATTCCAATGGCGGGCAGAGAGATGTACGCCCCCGAAGGATTGTCCGCCCGTTCCGGTTTGCCCGTACGTCTAAGCCCGCCGGCCCCAGCAAAGAGAAATAATCCCCCCGAAAGGGGTGTGATCGAAGACGAAGAGGGCGGGTATCGAGGGTGTAGGGTATACGTGTTGAATGACTCGCGGGCAAGTAAGAGCGTACAGCCTTAAAATGGTTGTTGTTGTTGTTGTTGTTGTTGTTGTTGTTGTTGTTGTTGTTCTTGTTCTTGTTCTTGTTGTTGTTGTTGTTGTTGTTGTTGTTGTTGTTGTTGTTGTTGTTGTTGTTGTTGTTGTTGTTGTTGTTGTTGTTGTTGTTTCTGTTGTTGTTGAATTCTCATTTTCAAGAAAATATTTCTGAATCCCCCTCACCGGTGCATGCTGTTTTTTCTCAATCAAAGTGTGCCCCTCGACGCTCGCACCCTGTTTTTTGACAGGGAAGGTCTTGATGCTCAAACTGTGCCCCTGGCCACGGGGTTACAACAACAACGGCTCCCGCTTGAGACTTCCTCACAATTCAGCCAGGATCCCCGCTCCCGCCCGAGACGTCCTCGCATTTTTTAGGAATCGTGCTCTCGCTTGGGACTTCCTTACAATTTATGTAGGAATCGCTGTCCCGGCGCTCTGGAGTCGCGCTCTCGCTGGAGACTTGCAATTTACTGACGGATAGCGCCCTTGCGTTGGAATGTCTTGCAATTTACTCAAGCGCCGCGCTCCCGACCCCCA